TTTGGTGTGTGTGTGTGTGTGTGTGTGTATAACATAACTTTTAAAAATGAATACAGGAAGAAAATCAAATATCTGGGGAAGATATTCTCAATGTTATAGGAGATACAATATACTTTCTTCTATTATTAAAGTTATTTCCTAGAGTACTTATATTTCTATGAAATAAAAATATGTCAAATGCATAAGCATTTGCAGTCTAGGAAACAGACTTATTTGTACTGAGAAACTGGAAACATATATCCTTAAAATGACAAATAGACCTCTGATATTCACTTTCACTTTCATGTGATCTCTAGCAGAATTATTGCAATTAATTTTGTCAACAGGATACAAATATTCTTTTATTTGTGTGCAGAAAATAGTTCCAACATAAGTGTGGATATTTAAATGTAAAATAAACAAAAGTCTATGGATGAAATCAGAAATATTAGCAAAATAAAAAATCCAACTTTTCTTGCAAAGACAAGCTGTTTCAAGATTGATAGAAAATTTGACATTACAGTGAAAATGTCTAGATGCTTAAAAAACAACAACTTTAGTTCACTTAGAAGTATGGCTACAGGATTGTCTGCTTGTTTACAAAGCATAGCATAGATTATCAGCCATGCCTAGTGTTGGGTAAAGACACTGGGATACTGGACATAGAATCAGATAATGGGACTTCCAGCTCTGCCCTATTCTAGCTGTGTGATCTGAATCAATGATCGAACCTCTCTGAGCTGTGGTTTCTCACCTAGAACATGGAGGTGATAATGGGTATGTACCACATAGGATGCTGAGAGTTTAAAATGTAATTTATATTGCATCTGTGAAAGCACAAAGCTCAGTGACACATTGCAGATTTATTGATTAGATAAAAATAATCCAAATTGTAAACTTAATTAATCATTCCCTATTTTGGATAGAAGCTGTCTTTAATATTCACTAATTATTTGCATGCGTTGCATTAAATAGGTTCCCCCAATCGTATGCATGTTAGAACAAAGCTTGGGGAAAATCTTGACTATACACTTACATGGAGCAGGTTTAAGTTTATGGTTTAATTGTTAGTGATTAGAAAACAAAATAGAAATAAAATATAATTTCCATTTGGATTACACTTAGTTGGAAACTTAAAACTACAGTGTTAGATTGTAGATAATATTTATTAGTATTTATCCGTATTTTGGGTATTGTTTTCAGGTCTCAGTACCACATTTAATACAGCATATGAAAAGCATGTCAAAATTAATTTTTTTTTGTCTCTAAAATCTTGGTCTATACATCTAAGATTGGGAGTTATCCTTGCAATGGTATTTTCCCCATCTCATTTCACACCTTGCCTTTTTCTTACAAATCACATTCTCTTTTCATCAGTACATCTGCCCAAAACACTGTTCTACTTGACAGCTCTATCCCGCACTCGCCTCCCAGCTCCTAACAAGGCAAACCTCTGGGAATTGCAAAGTGCCATATTTAAAATCTCTCAGTGAGATGTACAGGTTTCCCCTTGTGATCATAAGGGATTCCTCAAATCCGAGTTTTAGAGCTAATCTACCACAACTGATAAGCACAGTATTTTCACATTAGTATATTTATGTTGTGCTAATGTACTTAAACAGTATGTGCATCCATTGAGAATTTTTCTACAAATTTCTTAGTAGCATTCTCTTAACTTTGAAGAGAGATACCTCACTTATCTGATTGGCACCGGCTGTAATTCCATTCTTTCCTAAGCTAAATAGGCTTACCCAGCTTGCAAGGGGGAGGTCATAGATGTCACAGTTGCCCAGTGGAATACTAGTCGGCAATAAAAAGGCACAAATTACTGATAGAGAGAACAACATGGATGCATCTAGAACTGCCTACGCTAAGTTAAAGCCAAACATAAAGGCTACACGTTCCATGAATCTATTTATATGATATTTTGGAAAGACAAAAGTATAGGGACGGAAACCAAGTCAGTGACTGTCAGGGGACAGACAGCAGGAGGGAGCTGACTACAAAGGAGGGTGAGGGGTCTTTATAGATGATGGAAATATCTTGACTGTGATGGTGGTGACGAACTGTATACATTTGTCAAACTATATACCTAAAAAGAGTCACTTCCAGTGTGTAGATATAATTGAAGACACCTGACCTTAAAGATATAAATGGCTAAAGTAAGAGAAGGTACCTGTAGTTTTAGAGAGTTGTATATTGTCTCCTTCCAGAGAAGTTTTGTCAATAACATACTAGGTGTATATTTTTCACCCATTTCTACTTCCAGCCCAAATGTGTGACACTCAGACCACTTTCAATGGATAAAGACTACATTAATATACATAATTTACTTAGTGAATTTAGCAGCTTTAGCATGAAATAATAGTTATCTAACAATTATAAGTATTGTGAAATGTTATTAATTATAAGAACATTATTAAGTGAAACTCTTGCCCTATTAGTATGCCAAATGCTTGCATTTTATTTCATTTTCCAATCATCAGAATTAAGCTAAAGTGCTCAGAGCTGACTGTACCTACATTATTACATGACTATCCTGCCCGATGAGGGGAATTGTACTAGCCTCATTTTAAATAGAGGAAGTCAGGCACAGCGCAACTGCAACAGCAAATGTCACAGATCCTTCGGATTCCAAAGCCAACATATGCGACCATCTTTCATTTATTGTTACCAGTTTAGCAATAGTTCTGATCCTTGAGGACTGGACTGCAAACATCCTTGGAAATAAACTGTAAGGAGGGAAGTCTTCCCTTGGAAAGATTTCCAAAAAGAATTGATACTGAGTACTAAAAACAGAAAATGGGGATTGACACATGAATGGTGTGCCCTTGCCACTCACATTAACTGCAACCCATTCACAGAAGCATAGTTTAATTACAGTAAAAAAATTATTTGTCACCTCATATAAGCTCCAGTACAACTGCAGTGCCAGGCTTTAATGATATTCTTCCTGAGCCAATTGTTTTTAATATATTACAGTTATGTTTGTTATTGAACTGCTGTTTTCATAACTAACGAGTAAATCCACGTTCTTTATTAATTTTTTTTACTTTATTCATTACCTACCATTTTACGTGAAAATAACTCAATGGTTTCTATATAATATATTTTTTGTTTAAATGACATTGTCAAGCCTAGATCTTTTCTTGGATAAAATTTACATGCAGGGGGGCTGACAAAAATCATAAATCCTTACCAATTTGCATGAGCTCTCATATTGGATGTATGGTACTTTAAGTAGATACATGTACTCGATTCACTACCCGCAGCTTCTCATCCACAGTGGAGTGTTTAAATGCAGCTTGCCAGAAACTCTTACCTTTTGTGCATAATTATCTGGGTGTGCCTTTCTTACTTGTACTGAACTGTATGTACTGTGTGCTGTAGAGGTGTGTAGTTAAAATATGTTTATTCTCAGAAATATTTTAAAAATATTTTAAAATGTTTTCCTTTGCAGAATCAGACACAAGTTTGGCAGAAGGAAGTGTCAACTGCTTAGATGAAAGTCTTGGACATAACAGCAACATGGGCAGTGATTCAGGCACCATGGGAAGTGATTCAGGTACTGCCTCACTGTTGTGTAAACCTTAACAAGTGTGAAATAAGACACCATATAGTGGAAAGCATGGGGGCTGTTCATACCCTCCCTAATGTATTTATGCAATTAAAGCAATTCTTTTCTACAGTTGAAGGAGTTCTGGAACTTTGCCATTCACATCCTTTAAAAGTACAACTTACAAAAGTCTTAGCATCAAGCTCTCTAATTTTGATCTAGTACATAGCTTTTTGGTCTGGCATATGCCACATTCCATAGAATCAATGTTATCTAGTTTATTTATGAAATCTGTTTCAATTAATTTCACTGTCTTAAATCCTGTATGCAATTTGGTACATGTATTCCCAAACCCTAATCTTTTTTTTTATTAAAATACATTTTAAATAAAAACTTTAAGGGTTCTTCTTTAAATGAAGAACTAGAAATTACATATGCAGTTAAGTAGTTCCAATTTGTATGGATATCTCTTGCATAGGAGTAGCGTTTGCAAATGTTTTTGTCACTAAATGCGAATTTTGCTAGGTGTTTCCCAAATTGCTCTCCGCGTTAGCTGAATGCACCCCCAGCAATAAATAAGTGTCTCCCCACATGTGAGCAACACTTTCTGTTGTCAGATTTCCTAACTTTTGTCCATCTGATCAGTTTCAAATCTCTTCTTCCTGTTCTTTGAATGTGTGTTTCCATTATTATTACTGAGCTAAAATGTTAACATCTTTTCAAAATGGGTGATGGGCCCTAGATGTCTGTCACACACCTTTCTAAATTTGGCTATATGTTTAAAATAAATCATCATTAAAACTAAGAAATTTTTAAAAATGCTTTGCAATGTGGCCAGCTAAGAAGTAGTAGAGAATTGGCAAATTAAGAAACAAATTACGTTAATCTTTATTTGTTTTGTGGTTGAGTTGTAGTAAACACTTAGAAAATACTGTGTACTTCAGATTGTCCTGCATTCTCAGAAGAATTATAGAAATTTAGGTCCACAATAGGTCTAAAAGGTCAAAATAATTTACATAAGGATGTTCTGCTGCCCTAAAAGATTTCCAAATTGAAGTGTATCACTTCTTTTATTTACGTGTCGTTTCTCTCAATAAGACTTCTGAATCCCTTGTTACAAACAAGTTGGTTTGCGGAAACCCAATTCATCAAATGTCAGTCATAACATTAACTTTAACTAAAAAGGGTTAATTCATTTTCTGTTCAATTCAGTCAGTGTTTACGAAGTTCTTGCCATGTGCTTATTTCTGTGGATTATATCTAGTTTTTTGTATGCCTGTTATACAATTGTTTAATTTAATTATGATTTTAAAATTAAATGCTATTGATTCTAGAATTCAAAATATAATCCAGCTAATATGTATCATTTTATGGGTAGTTTTAAACTTCTGGAACTCATCCTAATTTTTGTTTGTCTGTGTAAGGGCTTTTCAAGAGTAGTCATTCATTCAGTAAATATTTCATGGCCATCCTCTCTGTGCAGGGCATTTTGTCTAGTTCGAGCTGTTAGCAAATGTAACTGTTTACTGCTTTTCAGTGCTCAGTGTGGCATGAAAGACGTGATAAATCTAAATGCAACCTACTTTTAAAAGCAAATACATTTTCAAAGGCAAATACATGTGAAGACAAACACATTTTCAAAGGCTACCCATTGACGTTTTAGATGGGGGTCAGTGCTTAGGACAAAGAATTGCTTTGCATAATGGGTAGTAGAATTCTGAAATTATAAAATTATGAAAATCTTTTCCCTTAAGTACATGAGATAGGATGAACTAGAAATCAATTTTTAAAAAAGGTTTGGATGAATTGCTAATTGTTAAACACACATGGAATCACTGAAAAGCAGTAATTACAACGTTTGGGATTCTATTTTCACCTTTGGGGCTGACATCAAAGGGATGTTCTTCCACTTGTCCTTTGTCCATTTTCAAAGGTTACATAGTGGGCCATAAGGATCATGGACAAGGCCCAATATCATAACATGCTTCTTTGTGAAGTATTATGCCATAGCAAAAGATAATTAGCGATGCTTTTTAAGTTTTAATATACTAATTATACTATGGAAGGCATTTTGTTTTTCTGTTTCTCATTTTCAGAGAGAAACACAAAAAGTAGCAAATTTTTTTTTGGAATACACATTGGCCTGATATGTAGAAAGTGTTTCCTTACTATTTCAAGGTAATACCTATTAATATTTGTCCAGCTGGAATGGCATGTTTTCGTGGTTATACACTATAGGTAAAGGAGTACTTTTTCAATTTCAAACACATGCAGTGACAGACCTTTTCTCTCCAAGAATAACTCAGCTGTCAAAATCAATGTGAGAATGAAATTTGCCACATGGTGTAGTTCCAATAGAATGTTATTATTTAAGCCCTATTTTATTTCATTTTTTGACCATTTATATGAACAGTATAATTTTAAGGTCCTTAATCAGTATTTGTTGCAGAGGAAGGGTGCAAAGTAATTCAAAACCTGTGCATATTTTGAATACCATTTTTATTATTGCATTTAATGGATTTTTCTTTTCAAAGAGAGCCAAAAAGAAACCAACAACAAACAAACAAAACCCAAACATTTTTTTTTTATAAAGGAAATTGGCTCCTGGCTCATTGACACCGGTCCAGTTCTCTCCTTCTGGTGACAGAAAAGATTTCTCTTTTTATTGCTTATGTGGATAAATTCTTCTATCCCTATGTCAGAGGATGTGATAAGGCAAGAATCGGGTTGAATATTTAGCACTCACCCAGCCCTTTTTCTTTGGATACTATTCTCACAGTGAATCCAACTCTAATTTTTTCCATATTCACTCTGTACTTCTCTGTTAAACTTGAGGACACCCATCAAGTTTCTTAGACTTGATTAAAAAAATGTGGAAGATTATTAAACTATCTATCTAATAGCCAGATATTTTTTGTGGCAGCAGTACAGTGCCCAAGACTCTAAATTCCTCGAGGACAAGGACTGTATTCTTGAGATCACATGAGTATAATAGGCACCCAGTAAACAATTACTGCAGAATGAATTAATGGTACATGACTAGTTAAATGTCATACTTTGATTCTAGACTTAAATTTGAACATGCCAGCCCTTTCTGTTGTCTAAGTCTTCTAAAATTTATTAGTACAATATTAATATGCATAAGTGATATTGATGTTTTATGCACTTGATTTAGTTTTAGATTCCTCAGGAAGAGACTCTGGAAATTTCTCTAAGGTTTTCTTTTAAATGTTTGTTACCCAAGATTTTACGAATAAGCACGAAAAACAAAAGGGGGAAATAATGATTTAAAAAAGTACATGCAGCTATTATGAGGAAAGCAGAATTTTATTATTATTTTTTAAATCTATGCAAAAGTATACCTAGAGTGAAATTTAAAAAAGGGGTAATTTGCTAATATCATTTGACAAACTTCCTAGCTCAAAGAGCAATTTAGCAAAAGTAAATTTCTGGATGGTGGTGTTAAACATAATTTAAAATACATCTTCCTTTTCAAATATTGTGGCTCTTTTAGAAAAGTTATGTGATAAATGCTCATAATATAGGTGGAATATTAATATTTTGATAATCTATAAAAGCCATTTAGGAGAAGTAATGATATCCTTAAATAAATTTGAGCCTTTCATAAATATAATAGAAGATGAAATACTATAATTGAGGTAGAGTTCAAAAGTAGCATGGGGAGAAAACTTGTAAATGAATATTTTTAATGTTGGTGATTTTGAAAGATTTTTTCTGAAAATCATATTAGATGAATCAGCAGCTGATCCAATGATATCTTAAATATATTGCATCTGTGTTTACTCATCCATACAGAAGGCAAATTTCCTGCCAGGTTAGTAGATGACTCTTGCTAAGTGGTGTTTGGTGTGAATTTTCCTACCTGTTCAGATGGTACTATCACAACAAGGTAAAATGCAGTTGAGTGGAATCATCCCTTTGCCGAAATGGAACCATCAGCAACCTTTTTGAAGTTAATGGGATTATGTTAGCTTAGTTTTATTGCGATCATCGATAAGAGAAAGAACACTTACTTCATGTGTCACGAAATACTGATAATTGCTGTCATGTCATTTTTTTCTTATGCTTACATAAAGCATAAGTTAGGCTTTTAAATTGATATAATATTTACTTTCCTGCATTCCACCTGATAAGTTATACATTTTTAGATCTGTTTCCCCCCTGCTAATATGGATAAATATGGTCACTTCTAAACAAAACATATTTAAACCGAGATATGCTATAATAATTTTATCCAAATGTTTATAAAATCCATGTGCATTAGTACTTACTTTATCAGTATTTTAAATTTAGAAATGTTAATTAGAAATTTATTAAAGTTTATTGTGCTTTGAGTTTCAGGAGAATAGGAATATGTGGAGACATAAACAATAAAGAAGCAATAAAGATCACAATTCAAAATTAATAGCAAAATTAGTCACAGTACAGTTTAAACTAACCAATTTTTTTTGTCATTCAATGAAAACTTATAAATTAAAGGCTATATGGGATGAATTTTTCCCTTTCTGCATAAATATTGATTCTGTTTAATTTGGTTGGTTCAAATGCCAAAAATTTGATCTTTTTTGGCCATTTTTTATTTTACTTATATATTTTTTAAATATATATTTTATTGATTTCAGAAAGGAAGGGAAAAGGAGAGGGATATAGAAACATCAATGATGATAAAGAATCAGTGATTGGCTGTCTCCTGCATGCCCCACATTGAGCCCGCAACCTGGGCATGTGCCCTGACCGGGAATTGAACTGTGACCTCCTGGTTCATAGGTTGATGCTCAACCACTGAGCCACGCCGGCCAGGCTGCCATTTTTACATATTTGAGATAGATAGATAAGTGGATAGATCAATGTGCAGGCTTTTGGTTGTTTGGTTGTCAAACAAAGTTTTTCAAATGAAGGGAAGTAGCTTCAGCTATAATATCTTTTTGCAATAAAAAGTAAGGGGGATACAGAATAAGGAGGACTGATGTTTCCCACCTACCCAGTCCTCTTGATTTGTAGGTGCTTCCTAAGACCTAAGAGAAACATGTAAGGCATAATGGCCCAACAAAGAGATGGAAAGTGTGAAGCATTAAGAGCCATAACTGCCAGTATTGCACCTTTCTGTACTTTGTCCTTGACTCCCGCATGTTGCTCCCTTCCAGTCCTCGGCCCTGTTAATTCACTCCCTCTGCACCCCAGGACAGAGGGCCTGGACTGCATCCTGCAAATACAAACAGAGCTGATGCGCATTTGGTACAGAAAATAGAAAATGAATTTGTTTGCACCATACATGAAAAGCAATTTAAACACAGAGACCTATGTTCAGTATGAGGGCTTCTTAGCCTTAGTCATTTTGTTGCCCATTCCTTTATTTATTTATTAGAGGCCCTGTGCATGAATTTGTGCACCAGTAGGGTCTCTCAGCCTGGCTTATGGGATCAGGGCAAACGGGCTCTCCGAAATCCCCTGAAGGGTCCCGGATTGCAAGAGGGTGCAGCCCAGGTAGAGGAACTCCACGGGTGCACGATTGGGGCCAGGGAGGGACGTGGGAGGTTGGCCAGCTGGGGAGGGATCACAGAAGGGCTCCAGGGCATGTCCAGCCCATCTTGCCCAGTCCTGATCGGCTGGACCCCAGCAGCAAACTAACCTGCCAGTAGGAGCATCTGCCCCCTGATGGTCAGTGCACATCATAGCAAGCAGTTGAGTGGCCTTAGCATATCATTAGCATATTATGCTTTGATTGGTTGAGTGGGTGAAAGGACGACTGGACACTTAGAATATTAGGCTTTTATTATATAGGATTTCCCTTATTTTTCTTTCTTTTCACCTCTTTCAGATGAAGAGAAAAAGGCAGAAAGAGCATCCCCGGAGCCAGAACTGAATCTCAGGCCGTACCAAATGGAAGTTGCCCAGCCAGCTTTGGAGGGAAAGAATATCATTATATGCCTCCCTACAGGGAGCGGGAAAACCAGAGTGGCCGTTTACATTGCCAAGGATCACTTGGACAAGAAGAAAAAAGCAGCTGAACTGGGAAAAGTTATCGTCCTTGTCAATAAGGTATTTAAGCGGCACATAAAATAACATTGTCTATTTTCATTTTATTATTTTGAAACATTTGTATAGTGACATTTGTAACCATAGACCACACAGATTTAGTTTTATTAGGGAAAATGTCAAGTTATTTTATCTTAAATCTTTGCTTTTCAAGTTATATGTAAAATCTTAGTTTTAGCCATTAAAATGGAAATTTTCTATAAAACCAGATTAAGTCAAATAGCTGTAACTTATGTATAAACAATATATTTACCCACATATTCTTTAAGGTTGACTGGTACTAAGTTAAGTTATTATTGCATGTGAACATAAATGACACCAAAATATTACTGGAATCTAGGATCAAATATTGTCTTCTAGAGTCTCTAACCATTGGCTCTTAGTCAAAGGTGGCAAGTGCTCTTTATCCAGCATATATATATTATTTTAAGAGTAAGAGAAAATTAATATTTGGTTGATTTATATCAAGTTAAATAGGTAAATAGTTTTCAAAGATTTTATATATATATTAAATATATAGATATTATTAAATGCAACACAGGTCTTTAATAATTTATAACTTGAGGAATTTGAAAGCCATCCTTATAAATAGGTATAAGTCTCCATTTTATTTTTTATTTTATTTTTTACTTTAAATTTCTTTATTGATTAAGGTATTACACATGTGTAAGTCTCCATTTTAAACAGTGTAGTTATTGAGCTTTATTCAGATAAACGAGAGTTTATTAATTTATGAACTTATAAATTGTGAATAGTAATATTTACCATTTTTTGATAATGGATATTTTTCCATTATCAGAAAGTCTATTTATTCCACTAGCTATGATAACTAGATTTGCAGTTATTTCTTTATAGAAAATGTAGCAATAGGCTATGCAACTTTACTGTATTTTTTGTATTTCTATTATAACAGTTTTAGATGCAACCTGCTTTTCAGTACTAAAGAAACTTACTCAGAATCCATGATCCGAATGATTTCCATCATGTCATTCCAAATGCATTTTATATGCATATGTGCTAAGCCTAAAGACCTCTCGCTTTATACTAGTGTGCACATAATTAAAACAGTTTGATTTCTTTTGTGGTAATGGTGATACAATAGCATTTCATATATTCCCTTTATTATGGCTATTGTCTTTTGGAATACAATAAATTTAGTATTTGATCTTGGACAAATGACTAATTTCTATGACTTTAGTTTCCTCATCTATAAAAGGAATAAAATAACACTACCCTGTATAGATGTTCAGAAGTTTAAATTTGATGATCTATCTATAGCCCAGGAATAACTCAGTGAATATTAGATCTTTCTCCCTCTCCTTCCTCTTTACCTTCATAATGAATGAAATGAAATTTAGTATTCTTTAGCCAGTGAGCAGTGTCAGGTCCAGAAAAGCAAAACAAAACAAAAACGTTAACTGAATTCAAAACCACTTCAGTTGATGTTCTTAATACCATTTGAGCTTCACCACTTCCTTAAGGTTAAGTCCCATCTACCCTCCCAAAGAGCTCTTCTACTCTACTTATCTGTTATATCACCTCCTCCAAAGCCTGTAGCCTCAAAAGCTAGGAGTTATTTCTGGTTTATCTGCTTCCTTCACTTCCCTTATCAGGCACAGTGTCATAGATGACTGTACTAGAGTTGAAGGAGGCCTTCAAAATCCAGCTTTCATCCATTGCCAAGTGGTTCCCTCACCTCTGCTGAGTAACTTCTAACATCAAGGATGTCTCCCTCCTAACAAGATATCTCCATCTATTATTTGAACAGCTGACACTGTTAGAAAGCCTATCATGTATTCATCAAAATCTGGTTCTCTGGAATCCACTCTCATTGGTTAGAGTTCTTTCCTCTGTAATGATAAAGAGTAAGTTAAGTTGTAATTCTCTTATCGTATTACAGCCCTCCATATAGAGAAGTCAGCAAGCATCATGCAGCATTTACGTGATTTATCTTCTTGTTCCCTGGGATAAATATCCCCAGTTTCTGTCACTGTTCTTTATATAACATGGTTTCCAGACATTTATCTTCTTGTTCCCTGGGATAAATATCCCCAGTTCCTGTCACTGTTCTTTATATAACATGGTTTCCATCATCCTGAGTGCTCATACTTTTCCAGAATTTTATCTCAGACCCTCTTAAAACACAGTATCCAGTGTTAAACAAAATACTATAGATATAGTCTTACAGTGCAGAGTTTAGGAGAGATGAGATGTAACACTTAGCCCGTGACTGGGTCTGCCTTTGTCACCCAGAGACTCATCTGTGCTTGCTATAACCTAAAAAGCCCAAGTTCATTTGAAAAAGCTGTTAGAATAGACCTCTTAAGTTATGTTTGTGCATTTATTTTTTGAGCCTAAATACAATTACTTATGTTTATTTCTTCACTAGAGGCCCAGTGCACGAATTTGTGCACGAGTGGGGTCCCTAGGCTTGGCTGGTGATTGGGGCTGGCCAGGGGGAGGAACTGTTGGAGGTTGGCCAGCCGGGACCATAGGAGGTTGGCCGGCTGCAGGAGGTTGGCTGTGGGAGTGCACTGACCACCAGGGGGCAGCTCCTGCATTGAACATCTGCCCCCTGGTGGTCAGTGCATGTCATAGTGACTGGTTGACCAGTCCTTCCAGTCATCTGGTCATTTGGTCATAAAGGTTGCGTAGGCTTTTATATATAGAGATAGATAGATAGATAGATAGATAGATATCATTATGTTAATTGGTCATTTCAGGATTTGTGTTCTTGTATGCATCTAATGCATCTTCCTTTTTGTAATAATTACTTGTCCTCTCAGTGCTAAATTCTTGTTACAAATCTTTCATCCCACTGGATCTAGGAGATTCATATGAAATCAAATTTGTAGCCATGTTTAAATGTTAAATTATCATCATTAATTATTCATATCCAATTGCACTGTTCTGTAGATATTTAAGGATGTGACTCTAATTCCTGTTTCCCTACTGTTTTTCCTTAAAAATTACTAGAAATTCCTCCATTAGTTCTTTCATCTATGTCATAATATTTTCCTTTATTATCCAATTTCTTTGAATTTTAATGTAATGTAATTTTAATTCTTTTTTATTGAGTCAGGAAATCTGTGGCCCAGTAAGTCAACCTAACCTGCATTCTGTATTTGGCCCAAGAACAAGGTATTACAACCCTTGATCTAGAAAGGAAAAATCCTGTTCCCTAATACCATTTACTTTCATCTTCCTTTCTCCATCCTTTCCAAAGTTATCGCCTTCAAATGCAGGGAGAAATGAAAACACCACCTGTGTTTCCAGACTTTCTATTTCCTATCTAGGGCTTCCACATCATGAGAGATAAATCTCAGGTTCCTTCAGATGCCGTGATGCAGCCCATATGATTCAGCAGAAGTGGGTAGCAGTTGGGTTTGATTAGTCTTGGCAGGCACTCTGTCACATCTCAGGAACAGGCTCCAAAACGACCACACCTCTCCCAATTAGCCATGTCAGACTTGCATCTGGCTTTCTCTTGTCCTTCAACAGGAAGTCATTGCCAACCAGAGTGAGTATCAGGATTTCCAACACCTGCTTCCTCCTGTGACAGCTTCTTTTTGTTCTGTAGATGAGAAGATGCCGATTCTTTGACTCACCCTTTATGGACAGAATCTCAGTTCTCTATGTCATTTCATAGAATAAAGAATCTTAAATTTCTTGGTAGCATGAGGGTATTTAAGGACAAATGAGTCCAGCTGGTGTGACTCCATGATTGAGCATCAGCCTATGAAGCAGCAGGTTACAGTTCAATTCCCGGTCAGGGCACATGCCTGGGTTGTGGGCTCAGTCCTCAGTGTGGGGCATGCAGGAGGCAGCTGATCAATGATTCTCTTTCATCATTGATGTTTCTATCTCCCTCTCCATCTCCCTTTCTCTCTGAAATCAATAAAAATATATTTTAAAAAAATAAAGACAAATGAAATACAGATCATGTCTCCAAGGAATCTACAGTCTAGGAAATGAAAGATATATATTAATAATATAAAAATATGGTATTGTACTTTATATTATCTCCTTAAAACCACCTGGCTATTTTTTGAAGTAAGTATAATTATCCCCTTTTTACCCATCAGAAAACTGAGACTCAGAGGCTTTAATTAGCCCCAGGGATCATCCAGCCAATTATCAGCAGATCTGAGACTTGAACCTTTTTCTTCTGAAGTCAACTGGTCTCTTTCCACCATACTCACTGCTAGAATAAAAGGAAAGTTGTTTTTTTGTTTTTCTGAGTACCAGTAATATGTCAGCTGTTATTTCATTTAATTTTTCACAACGACCTCACCACTGGTTAATATTATCCCCACTTTATTAGTGCGGAAATTGAGATGATTAAGTAACTTGTCCAAGATCACATAATAAGCAAGTAGCTGCGGTAGTTGTTTTCAGAGCTGACTTTCTTTCCTATGGATTGCACTTTCTTTTCATTAAATTTAATCCCCAGTCTCTTCTTCAGGATACTTCCTTCTTAGATTATCACCTCTGTCTTGCATTAATGGAATGAAAAAAATACAGTTGACCCTTGAAGAATATGAGGTTGAACTGCATGAGTCCACTTATACACAGATTTTTTTCAATAAATACTGTAAATCTATTTCTCTTTCTTATGATTTTCTTATTAACATTATCTTTAGCTTACTTTATCGTAAGAATACAGCCACTCCTCAGACAGAGGTGCGGGTGCAGGGTTGACTCTGGAGGCTGTAGTCTTAAAGAGTGAGACCATCTTCCAGCTGCTGACCTGCAAAGATGAGCTCTGTTGGCCAGGGCAGGAATGCCTTCTTTATCCTGGCGCTGGCCCTCACATGGCATCACTGGGTTCCATGTTGATGGTCTTGCAGCTCAAGGTCTTCAGAGGATTGCCTTTTGACCTGTTAGTGAAGGAGAAGATACTGTAAATCACCAACCAGGTCAAGTCACCTCAAAGCCAACACACTCTCACTAGACAATGCCAGTTGTCTCTGAAAGAGTTGCACCTTTTGTGCCAAATCTCTTTGTTGTTTTGTTCTTTCTCAGCCACCAAAGCTATTCCAGCAGTTCATTCTTCGCTTCACATCCACTCTCCTAGGCGATGTTAGTGAAGGAGAAGATACTGTAAATCACCAACCAGGTCAAGTCACCTCAAAGCCAACACACTCTCACTAGACAATGCCAGTTGTCTCTGAAAGAGTTGCACCTTTTGTGCCAAATCTCTTTGTTGTTTTGTTCTTTCTCAGCCACCAAAGCTATTCCAGCAGTTCATTCTTCATTTCACATCCACTCTCCTAGGCGACGCCTTACCTTCTCACTTTCCCTCCCTGCTCCAGTTCTTCAGGCGTGTTGCCTCTGCCTGATCCCCAAACAACTGTAATAAATCAACCCTAAATGTAACACAGCTCACAAAGGTTCTGTAAACTGTTACATACATTTAAAATACTCTGCTTGGTGTTCACAGCCCTTTTTAGCCTGGTCCTTCTCCATCAATTCAAAATTTATTTCTTATCCAGCCTCAGTTTTAATTTATATCTTCACTGACCCATGGCTTACAAGATTAAAATTCTGTCTAAGCCCTTCTTTGAGCAGTCGATTACTTCTTTCTCATTGCTGTCACTTTGAATGTGTTTCCATCGGAGAATTATTACATGGTGTTGTATTAATTTGTTTCATTTTCAGTCTTGGTCTGTGCACTCAGGTAGCCTGAGTTCCTGAAAGTTGTGAACTCAGACACAATATCGTTGTGTCCCAGACACAATACCTACACCCAACAGGCATTCAATAATTGCTTATTAACAGATGAATGAATGGAATGATGAATAGGTTGTTATGTCTAATTAACTGATAATGTAAACACCTTTGTTAATGCTTAACACATAGTAGGCCTTTGATCAATACTCCTTTTGCTTTGACAAATCTCTCTCTCTCTTTTACTTTTGGCATTTTTAAAGGTACCACTAGTTGAACAGCTCTTCCGTAAAGAGTTTCAAAAATTTTTGAAGAAATGGTATTGCATTACGAGAGTAAGTGGTGATACCCAAATGAAAATATCATTTCCAAAATTTGTCAAGTCCTATGACATTATTATCAGTACAGCTCAAATCCTTGAAAACTCCCTTTTAAACTCAGAAAAAGGAGAAGATGATGGTGTCCAGTTGTCAGGTTGGTTGAAGTATTTATTTTTGAACAAATTAATTAATAGTAATTAGTATTAACATTAATGGTAGTAATAGAGGCTGTGTAAATGTTGATTTAAAAAGATTAACTTTGGTTTATATTATCTTTTATTCATTAAGTTTTCATTAAAACCCTTTTACTTCTTTGTGGAAACAAAAAAATTGAAAAGTTTTTAATTAGATCACTGTTTTGCATAAGAATATCATTATTACATCAAATAACCACTATACTTTCCATTTACTTCTTAATTCTATGTACTGACAAGTTCTTTTTAAATGCTAGTGTATCCTGTTAGATTTGCCTTCTGCTCCATAGAACAGATATATAATCTTTTCTTTTTTTGTGAGGAATTAGAAGAGAAGGTGAGAGAGGAAGGGAAATACGTACAAATAATCACAATAATTAAATGCAATGTTAAAACATGCCAAAAATTTCCCTCTTTGAATAGAGTAGTTTTAATTTGACATAATAAATGCAAAATTCACCCACTTAAAATTAAACATTATGCCCTAACCGGTTTGGCTCAGTGGATAGAGCGTTGGCCTTCGGACTGAAAGGTCCAGGGTTCGATTTCCGTAAAGGGCATATACCTTCCTAACCGGTTTGGCTCCAGTAGGGAGTGTGCAGGAGGCAGCTGGTTGATGTTTCTCTCTCATCGATGTTCCTAACTCTCTGTCCCTCTCCCTTCCTCTCTGTAAAAAATCAATAAAATATATTTTAAAAAATTAAACATTATATTAAAGAACAAAAGCATAATCTTGAGAATTTTGGACAATAAACTTAGTGGGGTTTTTTTGTTTGTTTGTTTTTCTTTACTGTACCTTGTTGGTATGGACAAATGAACCATTTGAATTTTCTTTTAAGACTTTTCCCTCATCATCATTGATGAATGCCACCACACCAACAAAGAAGCAGTCTATAATAACATCATGAGGCGTTATTTGAAACAGAAGCTGAAAAACAATAAGCTCAGGAAAGAGAACAAACCAGTGATGCCTCTACCTCAGATCCTGGGACTAACAGCCTCACCAGGTGTCGGCGGGGCCACCAAGCAAGCCAAAGCTGAAGAACACATCTTAAAAGTAAGTTACTGACTTTATGTATAAACAAGAGAACCAACGTTTAAAGAAATACCAGTACTTCTTGGGCTTTATTATTTTAATGTGTGTGTTTTTTAATTGACTTCAGAGAGAGGAAGGGCAAAGGGAGAGAGCGAGAAACATCAATGATGAGAGAGAATCATAGATCGACTGCCTCCTGCAAGCCCCATACTGGAGATCCAGCCCCCAATAGCATGAAATAATAGTTATCTAACAATTATAAGTATTATGAAATGTTATTAATTATAAGAACATTATTAAATGAAACTCTTGCCCTAGTAGTATGCCAAATGCTTGAATTTTATTTCATTTTCCACAAGTGGGTTAAAGGAGATATTCCAGGATCATCAGTTAAATAAAATCTATTTTCTTTAGTTAAAGTAAGTATATTCAGTTTTCTACAAAGCAGTAATATACCTTAATAAACAATTATGACAGAACAAATCACAAAGATTATGGAAAGCTGATATAATTAATGAAATGTGGGGGCAAATTGAACACCTTCTTTTAAATATCTCCTCCTAGTGTAAAAGTTAATGATGTATTTGATATTGGAATATAAATAAAGCTATAAATGTTTCTTATTTTTATACTCAGTGAATTTCAAATTATGTCTTTGCTGCTAACTTCTTTGTTCTGTGTAATTCTCAGATTCTGGGTAATCCAAATTAAATGGGAAACTGGGGACATGCAGATCTGTAATTAAAAACGTATTACTCATCAGCTGCCCCCAAATGGTAACAACACGTAAAGTACTCTTGTTGATTGCAAGTGTTAAATGAATTCAAAATAACCCAAGAAGTGTGTTGGCATCAAGGTCAATTGCATTTGTATTTTTAAGTCCCTATTTTAAGTTGAATACAGCAAAAATCATGTAGAGTAGGCAGAGGTACAATTATTGGCTCCAAGATCTATTTTATTGCTGAGATTAAGGACAAATTCTAATCTAGATCCGGGCACCATGGGCTTCAGCTGCTCCTAGCTTCCTCCTGTAGAAGAGGGTGGTAATATGATCCAGGGAGGTCAAAATGACCTTTAAAATGCCTCATGCAATATGGTTTTCTCATTAGCATTCTCTGCTAATCTCTGCAAGTTGCTACACTCCTTCCGTGTCAGTTTTTCCAGCTAGAAAATAGAATGTAAAGAATGAAAATGAACACGCTTTTCTGGTATTATCCACCAACTTGATTTAGAAGCTCCTTTTTACTTTATCAGGACAAATGTTGATTATTGGTTAATCAGATCCACAGTAAAGCAATACTAAAATGCTACACACACACACACACACACACACACCCTACATTGAATCAATTCTGAGAGAGAAAACTAATTATTTAAATATTGAAAAATGTTTCTTTTCCAGATATGTGCCAATCTTGATGCATTTACTATCAAAACAGTGAAAGAAAACATCTGTCAACTTAAAGACCAAATAAAAGAGCCATGCAAAAAGTTTGTCATTGCAGATGACACCAGAGAAGTATGTGTTTAAAATGTCATTTTAATTGATTGCTGATATCATACTCAATTGAAAGATGCAAAGATTGTATATTTGCCACCGGAATAATATTGTTTTAAATTTTTAGCAAAGAAGTTAGTTTTGTATTTGTTTATTGAGGTTAGGCCATAAAGCAGTGCTCTAATTTTCTTTTCCATCCTTCTTTTAGTTTTCCAGTTCACAGAGAGTAGCTCAGTAACTGATGGACTAATATGAGCCATGGGGGGCCGGGGGTAGGTGAGGGTAGGGAAGGTGACATAGCTAAACTAGAGGGATTATACCATAGTTTGTTCTATCTTTTTTCTTTTCTTTTCTTTCTTTTTTTTTTTTTCTTTTTTTTTTACTTTCTTCGTGAATTCCAGGATCCGTTTTCTGACATTCCACAGAGCCATTTTGTTGCTACCAGATTACTGTTGGCAATGATCATGGAAATCCTATCTAATTTGCATATTTACTTTCTTAGGAAAACACTGACGTGGCAAAGAAGTGAAATACTTACTTTGATTGTGCTTTTTAGATGACTGTGACCAGTGCATATGTCAATACTTTTGTAAAATTTACAAAGCATGATAAGTTTTACCTATATGTACTTGATAATAAGAAACAGTCATTGAAAATATGCCTCATAAGGATATTAGGATTGATATGAAATATGCATAATAAATAATATTGTGTTTGAAATGTAGTAGGCACTAAACTAATTAGTGACCATTGTCCATTGGTCAGTTTCATGATTTGTTGTGTGTGTGTGTGTGTGTGTGTGTGTGTGTGTGTTTTAATTCTGGAAGAGTACTTATCTATTCCAGCTGAACTAGCACATTTGATATA